TTGGAAAATTCATATACCGATCATGCCCCTCTTAAAAGTATCTTGGCCTCCTATTAAAAATGGGATGGCCATAATCTGATATGGATCTCCAGACGCCAATTTTAATTAGCACAGGCGATTAAAGTTTGCTGACGATGTTGGTAATTAGGTGTTCCTTTCATTCACACGTCCACAGTAAGTAAAGGAAGATGACATACTTCCGGTCACCAAGAACGTTCAGTTTTCAAGATTTTACCATACCAGCTTAAGTTTTGTTTCATACCACTGATTCTATAGTGTAAACATCTAGGCCACCTTTTGAAGTTATGAAATGTTCATAAAATACACACCCATTAGCCATACAAAATTTAATCTGTGACATTTTGGTACATACCGGTACATATCAATGCGGCCAGCAAGTAAAACTTGTGAAAAACTTGTACTTGTATTATATTGTATTATAGAACAGAGTTGGAGCAGGTATATGAAGGTATTATCCTACTTGATGTGACAATAGCAGAAGAAAATAAAGTGGAGCAACAGCTGTGGAAGAATTCTTATTATCAGATTATTGAAGCATTTAGAAAGCAAGCTACAGATGAAGAATGTGAAGCTTTGGAATTGAAAGATAGACTTTTAAAACTAATTAATCAGGTAATGATATTCATTGTCAGCTGCCAAGTGCATATCACAAACAAGGGGTAATATTGTGTTCATCTCTATGGGTGCATTAATACTGAAATAATAATTTCTGCTTATTAATTAGCTCATCTGCATAATGCATGCCTCATCTGCTTATTCGTCCTTGTTCGAACACAGACCGAAAATAGGGACTTATGGATTGACCTCTGTGCGTCCATGTGTGCGTCCAGACCTGTATCTTAGACATGCCTGATTACATTCAAACTTCACACATACATCATACACATATCATATACATATGCACATCAATTTGTTTTACTATCTGATTCAAGATGGCCGAATGGCAGCCATTTTCGTAATGAAAAATGTTCTATGTTAAAATTTTAAATATTCATTATACACCATCTCATAGATATACAGATATATTGGTTTGGCGATCCGATTATTGCCATTTTGTTTCAATTAATGCTGTTCCAGAGCAATATCTCTCAATATGGACAAGTACTTGTACTGTAAAATAAAACTATGTAACTTAGATTTGATAACTAACAGGAACTGTACCATGCATGGCTTGTTAAATAAGTACCTTACACGACCCACTAATTGATTAGTTTAAATGCATATTAACTTACCTGATATTAATTACCTTCTCTGCATAATTCAAACTACAGGCAATTTAAATATCTCATTTGCCTCATTTTAAATGCATTATCTATCTGTACTTTATTTCTTTTACTGATCCTGTAACGAATTGTACATTTCTGAACCTACTTGCCACATATCTATATAATTGATACATGTCTTTATTTCTTTTATCAGGGAACCATATTCTTTGAGAGTTTAATCTCCAAACTGCAAGACACATATAGCTTCAAAATAAATGAACTTACAGGATTAGACCCTCTACAAAATATAAGTGAAAAATCGGTAAGTTAGTGTAGACACCTAATTTTTTTTAGCTCCGCTGTCGACTTTGTAAAAAGTGATATTTTCGACTTCTTGTTAAAAACCGCAGGTCCAATTGCTTTGATATTACATATATAGGTACTACATGTGGATGTCTCTCAAATTTGTTCATTTTGTAATGATATCTTTAATTCTCTAATTTTGGTGAATATTTTTGTCATTTTTGGTAAAAAGTGATATTTTTGACATCTTGTTAAAAACCACAATTCCAATTGTTTGGATATTACATATATAGGTACTACATGTGGACCTCTTTCAGATTTGTTAATTTCGTGGTGATATCTTCAATTATCTAATTTTGAGGATTTTGATTCATATTTGGTGAAAAGTGATATTTTTGTCCGGTTGCTTTGATACTATACATATTGTTAGTCCCCGTTCGGACGGAGTCCGAAAACGGGGACTTATGTTTTGCCCTGTGTGCGTCCGTCCGTCCGTGCGTCCGTCCGTCTGTGATCACCTGTATCTCGAACATGCATTGACCGATTATGTTCAAACTTCACTCATACATCACACATTATATGGGACATATGCACATGCATTTTTTTCATGATCCGATTAACGATAGCCGAATAGCGGCCATTTTAAGGCCGAAAATGCATTGAAATCGCACATTTTCACCATTCCGGACCCAGATCTCAGTTATGCATGGACGGATTTCATTCAAATTTGGTACATACATTAAACATAATAGACCTTGATGCACGTCATTTTTTTTCCGGATCAAGTTCGAAATGGCCGACTGGCGGCCATTTTGTTTTAAAGAATTCAGTT